CTGTTAGTCTTCAACCCCTCTATATCCATTAATGGCGTAATTAATCCATCCCAATCCGTGCTGATCTGTCCACTCACTCCTTGATCGAATCCACCTTTTGTGCCAGAGTCTGAATCTCAGCCAAAGTTTCAAGCTTACGACTCATCTCGACAATTATATGAGTTTATGCATCCACAGCACGATTCCATCCCTGAGCTCCGGGATTGAGCCAATATTCCTCGAAAGCTTGTTAATTTTCCGGTAAGCCAGGAAACCGCTCAGGCCAAACAGCAGGAATCCCGACACCAACACCACGAATATCCATAGAGAGGCAGATCAGGTTCCACTGTTTCCAGGAGTCCATGATATGCCCAGCTGGCTCTGTCCCAGAGGGGCATCCGGGAGCCCCTTCTCCCGTTCTCACCGTTGAAAAAATTTTGTCAATCGCGTTGAGACCAACTGACCAGATCCATTTTTAATAATTTCCAGTTTCCAGAAAAAATACAGAAAGCGCGGTGCACAGAGCCTTGGGATGAGGAGGGAGAGGAGAAAAAAGCGTCTGTACTCTCCAAGAGCTGGAAGAGGAGTGAATCCAGGCAAAGATAAGATTGATGACAATTTAGTGTAAGGGGGCCCCATGTCTGTGTTCGCCTTGGGCCCCCAAATAGCTAAATCTGCCACTGGGTGGGGGTGGGGTGGTTGCACATGTTCTGCTGCTGTTTCTCACCAGTATCAGCTGATGGAGAGCTCTAGTTTTGCTGCTCCGCTCGTGTCAGCGGACACGGTAGGGTTGGGGAGGGGTGCGGTGCATGACACTTAGCCTGGCGGGTGGGCAAGCAAAGCCTGGCGGCCCACAGGCTTATAAAGAGCTGGGGGAAACCCATGTAATATTTATGCATCTGATACAATTCAGATCACCTTCGAAACTCTCACACCCAGGGCCGTTTAAAGGCATTATGGGGGCCAAGGCTAAACGGAACCCCCCACCCCACATGTGCTTTTAAATGTAGCACTGGTGCAACATCTTTGAGTTACTGTTTCCCCAGAACTTTATTGAACAAAAGTAAGTTATGTGTAAGAAAAATGCTTTTTACTGGTGCACAGTGTGGTCATCTGGATGCAGTGGAGGAAAATAAAGGAACAAGCAAAGGCAGAACCGGTCCAAAGCTTAGGATCAAAAGTGCAGCTACGTGCAGATTGGCTAATGCTAAAGCTAACGGGTAGCAATCTCACGATCAAGTGGTGCACAGAAAAATATATGATGATTGTAAAACTAAGAAAGACTAAACTCTACAAGCGGATGAAAGGTCCCCACCATCCTGTTTATTCTGCATCCTGCAGTGCTACGGATGAGAACCGCCGCACGGCAAGCCGTTGTAGTATATAATTCACAAATGCTTCTATCTTTGAACATAATCTGAGCTGGATTATTGCCAACCCGTACATAATAGACATGACACCATTACATTGTTAGCAGCAGAAATTTAATGCTATTACCATTTCCATTATTACCATTTCCAATACAAATGCATGTTAATGAAATGCATTATATTTTACTGGATATATTTGTGTCATTTTGACTAAGATGAGTGTTATTAATACAAACCTAAAGTGTTACTGAAATGTAAATATTTAAAAATAGTTGTAACTATAAATATCTGAAGGGAAAAAGGGAACTAAACACCAATCTAATACATATTAATGAGCCTTTTATAATATTTAGCCTTTAAAAAGTGACACAGTTGAATGCACAGAGTATGCATGTGCTGGCGCATGGTTAGGATGGTATGGTACCGCCTCTGCCTCAATTTGAGCCAGGAAAAACCCTGTACCAGAATAAAATATTTTCATTTGGCTGTTTTCTTTGGTGCTGAGAAGTTTTCATTTTTAACTGTTTACGCAAAGACTATTCATTGAGTAAATCAATATCAGTATCAATAACTGTTTAAAAGACTCTTATTCAGTGAGTACATAATCAGGTTAACATCAGAATAATCACATGCATGTAAACAAAGTCAGTGATGAATGACTGCTGCTCTTGAGTGAATAGATTTTTGTTTAGGAACGAAGGAAAATTACAAACTTGTTAACTGAAACATTTAAACACAGAAAATGTTATTTAATCTTTTTTAACCTCTCGCCTGCCATCTTTTTTTTTAAGGCACTACAAGATTGATGTTGAACTGCCTTTTCGCCTCCAGCCCGACTGCATTGATAGGATGCGCTGTCTTCGGGCCTGTGTGATCCGCTCGCTCTTCCATTTGTATGAGCCATTCAGCTCCAGAGTATCAAAGATTCCTGCACTGCCAGAATCCACACCCACCACTTTGGTTAACTCCAAGGTATGACAACGTTGTTTACACTAATGTAGAGCAAACCTCTCTTGCGTTCAGTCATTTGAAATTGGAACAAATTTGTAATTGTCACATATTTTAACCCTTAAGGGTTGTGGCACTGGTGTCACAGCCTTTTTCAAACATCTGCAAATTGCTTCTTAAGTTATATATTCAAGTTTAACAACTCCAAGTGACATTCTATCAAAATAAATGGGTATGTATGTATGTGTGTATGTATATATATATACTGTATAATATGGATTGTTTGACTTCTTAATTTATTTAATTTTTGTTTATTTTGATGTATTTATTTCAATCTGTGTTTTATTTAAAAAGGGTTTGCATTCTTAAGGGTTAATTTAACAATTGTCAAAAATTTGGGATTTGTTTTTGTTTCCAAAATCATCTTTGAGATATTTGGTGTTAAAAGCAATGTCTGACTTTTTTCAGTTTTGCTTAAACACCAAGTTCACTGAGAAATCATTTTTAACTTTTTTGAAAATATGATTGATCACTCCTGAGTTTAACATGCAGGCTGAACGTTAAAGAAATCTACCCCTAATTGAGCTGCCTAGACAGGGAAACTCGGATGAGAAAAGCCACACAGATCTATGTCACGCTGTCACTTAGCATTCTCACTCATCTTGACTCACAACAGGCAATGCTGTTCTTGGTTTAGCGTCCAGGAAGTGGCAGAGAATGTCTCGGCTAGTAGTAGCTAACTGTTAGCATTAGCAACTCCACCACACAGCAGAACTCTTTCAGGCTTGTGTCATTTGTGGAGATAAAGCACGCGGCACTCGTGTGGGGTGTGATCTTCACACCACACAAAAATAGCATGAGGTGATCAGTAAATAGTGTAAAGTAACCTGCTACACAGATACACAGCTAAGCATAAGAATGGTGTACGACATTCTGCTCAGTTTTATGGCTTTTTATCAGACCCAGAAACAGGAAATGGCCGCAGGCAGTGAAGCAGCAGGCAGAAAACTCCGAAGCAACCAGTGACTCCGCCTCCTAGCCAGTCAGCGGCCACAGTCGCGATTCCGGCCCGACTCAGCCTCGCCAGGAACTTCCACAAAGCAGGGACTAAAAATTGGGAAAAAGTAGAGGGAAAATACCAAATTGTGCCCTTGGAAAACGTGGTCGGGCTGAGCTGCACCAGTCAGAGTTACTGAGTAGTGCTCTTGGAAAACTAGCTTTATACTAGCGACCACTGCTAATGTGTTAATAAAACAAGTGAACTTGGTCTTTAAAAAATCTGAATGTTAAAAATGTTTTATTTATTTTTCCATTAATTAAGTTAAATATATTTTGTAAAGTCAAACTCAGATTTGTGTTATTAAAACTATTTTCTAGCTGCTTTTTTAAAAGTAGGAAACTATTTAAACATGTCCGTGTCGTGTTACAGTGTTTACTCTTCTGGGTCAAAAAGCTGTCAGGCACTTGCACAGAAACGATGTGGGAGTTCAACTTCAAATTCATAAAGGAGGTAACTTCTTACCTTGTTTTTCATGTTGTAGCTTTGCTCTACACAAACCAGGCGTGTTGATGTTTGATGAAATGTGTGGATCTCTGCTGCAGCAGGGGCACAGCAAAAATGGTTGTTCCAAGTTGCTGCGCTTACCCAAACAGTATGAGGATGTTCACATGAATCCAGACTCTGACTGCTACGTGCTTCAGGTCACTACTCTCAACTACATCTTCACCCCTGTAGTCATGGGCATGACACTAACCCTGGTAAGTAGTTTATCGCAGAAAAAACACCCAGTTGCCCTCCTCTAAATTTATTGGTCTTTTATTTCAAGTTCACAATCAACGTGAGCACAGACATGCGTCACCACCGTGTACGCCTGGTGTTCCAGGACTCGCCCCTTCAGCGAGGGAAGAGAAGAGGGGATCAAGGTGGCACGCAGGTTGTGTTGGATCCTGTACACAGTGTGAAGCTAATGGACTGGTGGCATCCCCAGTACCCCTCTTTGCCTTTTGTGTAAAGATGTCTCCCGAGTGTCTAAGGCAGCAGACCATGGACAAGGACTTCGTCTCGTCAAACTCATTAAACAGGACAAAGATCACATTCAGTGACACAAACTTTGCACAAATACCTGATTGTACTTTGTTTAAAACAGATTATGGCCAAATAAAAATTTGACGTCATACATCAGACATATGGCAGAAAAATTTGTGTTTTGGGTTAATGAGGCTCTGTCCATTAATATTTTAAACAAACAGCTTATTTTCCTGTTGAAACTAAAGGAATGTTTTATCCAGAAGACTTTTTCAGGCTCAGTGAGTAGTATTTTTTTATGCTCTTATATAAAATTTACTACAGTAATTTGATCTTGGTTTTTAATGTGACAAGCAAAATCTAAATAGGGTTGAAAAAATTGGGGTGTATGTATAATTTAAACCTCTTCTGGTGACGCGAATAACAATGCTTCTCTGTGCAGACGAGGCCAAAGATGTTTTACTTCCTGCGTCTTCTGCAGATTTGGGCAGTTTTTAAGCATGTGATAACTGATTATTTCTTGATATTGAGTTATTTTACATATGCATAGCTAATCTCTTTCTCTGAAGTCTGATGTATTCTGTGACATGAGTGATGATGGGTTACAGGGTTGCCTTTCATGCTGGCTTGTTAATTCTTCAGACAGTTTTAACTGAGTTGCACAGATAATGTCAAAGTCTTCAGATTAGCAGAATACACATTTTGTTTAAAGTGTTCTTGTTAACAAATAGGAACAGCGATTACTTTTAGGTGGTGATAAAAAGTTGTTGAATTTGATCAACTCAAACAATTTCTCAAGTCACCTGATCTACCACAGTAAAAATACATGCACATTGAAAAACTGGTACAAGTATTTTTTTCAGTTGCAATAAAGGTGATTTCAATCAAAACAAAGTTGATTGTTGCTGTATTTTAGCTCCTCCCTATGGACACTACAGGTATTACATGCACAAGCCGAAATTCATGCATCATCTTGCATAAGGTGATCTGTGTTTTTTCTTTTACTACATTTAATGTTGAAGACTAGAAATTTTTGACAAGTTAAACAAAAGTTTAATATTCTCATCAGTGCTTATATTGCAGTCCAACAGCCAAGAGGGATACATTTATGAAGTTCTTTGGACAAAATCCTCCTCACATGAAGCTATTTCAACACATAAATTATTATTATTTTTTTACATTTTCAGTACCTTCCAGAATGAGCCATTTCAGGGCTCTGTAAATTTAAGAAAACCAACCGAAGCTGTCCACGAGTACCCATTCCCCACTCGGGCTGCTATAAGCTGAGAGGCTCATTTATCTGGGAGGGACTCAATAGAGGGGTGAGCTTGGAGTTGAGCATTGCTCCTCCTCCAGCAGCAGCTTTCTCTTGCATGTGAGGTGGTTCTACAATAATTTCTGCAATTGTGACATCACAAATGGGGACTTTATAGAATGGTTTGTTTTAGACAAATAATTCCTAAAACAAAAGATGGATAAATTAGTTTTTTCATGTTTGAAGTGTTAGAGGCAGTAGAGACCAACATGGCAACACAAAATGATGCAAATGAGGAGTTATGTATAATTTGTATGTGCCCTTTAAAATCAGTGATGACAACTGTTGCATTAAAGTTCCGAAAAAGCATCATAACTTTATGTCCATCTTTCCTAAACATCTGGTAGTGTTATCTACAAGGGCCCTTAGGACTAAGGCAAAAAAAAAAAAAAATTAACTTCCCAGTCACAGGTGCATCCTCCAAGTGCGAGATTGACCAAGATCAATTGGCTGATGTTCACTAACTGTTTGAAGAAGAGGATCCACAAACCAAAATGTGAGCAGGTTAGTGGCCATCATGAGGAGGAACACAGCTGTTGTGGCTGATTTCTTCCTTCTGCTTTGAAAGTGGGAATGAATAAAGTAAAAAATGACCAGTATGTTTTTTTTTTCCCTGCATTGCTCAGATAAAAATCAAATCATTCAACCCATCAAGCAACTCAAAACAAGCAGCAGCATCAGGCATCATCATTGGTCTTAAATACCACGGGTCCTCGAGGAAGACGATAAAACTACAATTCCCACAATCTTTTTCCGGACTTTCCGCTGGTGGCGCAGGTGACCGATCTGAGTGACGCTGTGAGTTGTGACAACGTCTAGAGACCGTCAAAACGAAAACAAACTAGCTAACGAAGCGCGCGAGTCTCCACGCGCCAGCTGTCCGTGTGAGGGAAATGCGGTGAAACTTTCAAGTCCCTCGCCTTATTTTGGCCTTTTTGCCACGGCTTCGCTCTTTTTATTTTTTAAGTTCCTGTTTGATAGTTGTTGGCGGTTCTGGTTGGGCTCAGGGAAGCGGAGACGCACTTTCCCCTCAGCCTGACTCGTCGTGTCTGACCTTCACAGCGGGTAAGTTATATTTCAGCAGCAACACCGCTGCGCGCTGAAGCACCTCCACCTCGGGGAGCAGCGCCAGAGTGCGCGTTTGTCGCTGTCATGCAGCATGCTGTGGTTTAAAAACACAATTTAACAATTGTACTTTTTCTTTATTCTTTAAAGTTTTTCATCACTAATCAGCACATTTGAGGGCTTCTGGGATCTCATCCATGTACTTTAGCCCATTATAATTTGGTAATGTGTTCAGTTTGAATATTTGTAGCAAAATAAGTGCATTTTGCCTCCATCCCCGCACAAATAATAATAATAATAATAATGAAAATAAAAATGTTCATGTTTTTATCATTTTAAAGACTGTTTTAGTATATAACAAAAGTCAACAGGGTTTTGTTGTGTGTAAATTTTGACTGAACAACGTAATACTCAATGCACCATGATGTTTCCACTTTTTAATGTGGTCTGCCAGCCTGGAAGGATCTGCCCTTCTTGCCATTTATGAGCTGCAACCAGCAGACCAGTATCAGTAACAACACCTCAGGCCTGGGGTATGCTGCTATGTATAAGCTGTGCCTGTAAACTGTACAGTCTGTAATGCTCTGCTGCTTATTCAAGCACTTTGCTTGATGGAGCTGCATGGTGCCAACACAGAAATAACGAAAGCGCTGTTAGCCATTTACACTCCTTTGTGGGGTCAGTTTACATATGTTCAATTGGAGTGTGTGTGTGTGTGTGTGTGTGCAGAATGGACACCTTGTCATCTTTGTTGCTTTCCAGGAATGAAGACGTCATTCTTGTAATGTCGTTTTTTAAGAGAGATGCACCCAAAACATCGCTTGGTGATTATGGCCCTGTATCACAGTTGGGTGTAAAGCAAAAGTCCTTATAAATAAGCTGGCATGGTATGGTAATTGGTGACAAGTCGTTCTGAAACAGAAAATTCAGGAAGGTTGTTCTTTCAGCTTATCGGAGAACCATCGCCATGCAGCAGAAGGAAATGTGCCATTTTCCCTGCTCCGTGACCTCCCCGCTGCTAATCGTTAATTCATTCCAGCAATAACAGCGCTTCCATGTGAACGTTTTTTCTTTCAGGAAAATAACTTTCTAGGTAATTGGAAAAAAATTTAAAAAGCTTTCTGTAAGTTAGAATCTTTGGGAGGAATGGAAATAATCGTTGGCAGGTTAAAGCTGAACAAGAATCAAACCAGAATTGGTGCATCCACCCTCGAAACAGAAATCGATGAACTCATGTCCAGGCAGACGAAAGTTAGAACAACCTCCACATAAATAAATATACTTTTGTGAGCTTTATGTTAACGCTGTGGTGATAGTGATTGTCTCCGCTGTCTTGCCCCTCTTACATCACAACGTCACGTGACAGATAATTGGCTAGAATTTTGTTGAAGCTGCCTTTTTGCACGGCTAAAGACAAATTAGAACATCTGAGAGTTATTCAAACACTGAAAAGTGTGATCAACTTTATTTTTTCACCAAATAGAGACATGTTTATGCTTTTAAAACCGCTTAAAAGATGGACTTTAATATTGAAGTCAGTCAGATCTAACGTTATTAACCTTTCAAAAAACCAGTTTTATGATTGAATGCTTAGTTGTGAATTAATTCTCAGTGGAAATTGTCATAAATCCTGCAGGCTGACTCACATGATTATGTGCAGTCACCTAACATCCCATCAGCATACTGTCTTTTAGAGCATGACCTCCGACCTCCATCATCAGACTTGCTGTTCTGCGGCGAGAACAATAAGGGTCAAATGTCTCTGCAAGCGTGCTGGGAAGTTCCGAGTACACCTGCATGAGCAAACAACTTTTTATTTTCGAATCTGTGTACATGTTCATCACGACCTCTCCACGTTTATTCTCGATGTGCTTCTGAGAATTCTCCCTTGTGACATCGCTGTTAGCTGTAGCAGCGGTGTTGATGTTGCGTTATGAAACACTATGATGGCAGCTTAGAAAGACAGACACCAGAAATAGAAAATGTAGAGCTAGCCAGTCAAGTAAACAAAGCTTCTGATTATTTCTGTCTCCTAATTTTGATTGGCATGGTTTACTGCTGCACGGGAACCCAGGTGTAGTTTATTAAACGATAAGAAGTGTATTAAAAATAACTAGCAGATGAGTAGAGATTTCTACCTACCGTTTAAAAAAAATCTTTTCCACTAACTCTTTGCTGGGAGTTATGCAAGATCCTTGAGGTTAGCGGACCTCACTTTGTTGCACATGCATTTATCTGTGTGGGCTTGATGAGCATGCATAGGATCGGGTTTCTTTTAGCTGTAAAACAGAGGATTTTATGCATAACTGGTTGCATTAGAGTAATTTGAAACTTCTGTCCGGCTGTCTGACTCTTCACTTGGTCCATGAATGAAAACATTTATGTTGTGTAACCAGATAATAACGATAGCTGTGCTCTGCTGCAGCTCTGGCACATACAGTCTAGCTGTGACTATGCAGTAAAACGGTTCTACACAGTCTTTTACTTTAATCAGGTGCTTTTACATAATGTTTTTAAGAAGGACTGAGATTTAAAAGTCATCTTAACAAAGTCATTTAGAGATTATTAGACGTAATTTCTCAACCAAACTGGTATGGCAGCATGATCAAAATGTGAAAAATATCTTCTCATTTTAAATCGGATCAGATTAGAGGTTGACTTTCTGAAATCACAGCGAGGTTTAAATAACTTTACAAGTTTTTATGATTTACATTTCATTCAGGGCTGTGCTACATTTTGTGAAATCCCGACAAGACTGTGTGAAAATGCAAGGTGTGTTTGACAGTTGACGTTCAGGACGAGACAGAGCCACTTTTGAAGATATTTAGCCTACAGTCGAGCGATTAAACAGATTTATCGACCACACGTGGTGGTGGATATCTTTTTTCTGCATATGAATTTGTCTCACGGATGGGAGATTAGAAGTTTCCACTTTAAAGAGACAATTTTTAGTTTTTAACCTTTAATCTTTTGAAATATCCATCAAAATGCCTAATTTTTACGTCTCCATCTGCGTCATTACGGAGAGATGCAATTTCATTATGTGTTGGTGCAAGGGCTCTCCGACTGGCACGCAGAGGGTGGCAGAGACATGCCCAAATATTTAACTATACTTCGAAAGTGACAGAAACTGCAAGCTTGTGATTGGTCAGGATGCTGCTTCTTGTAAATTCATTGACAGCACCACCGTTGCCCCCTAAAAAAATTAAGAAAATATTTAGCGACAGACGGAACAGATTGAAGAGTGCATCACGGAAAAAGTCTGAAAATATGAACCTTTTTTCACTCGTGAGTACAAAGATATACAGCAAGCATTTTATTCACGGACAGAAATGACGAGAAACATAGGTTTACAGGTGCCGATCGCATGAAGAGGTGGATGGGAGAGATATTTGTTTGTGTTCAAAAGTCACTGAAATACATTAAAACAGTGTAAACACCATAGTAGATGCACTTTCGTGGACCGGATACGTGACCGCAATGGTGGCAGGATTCCTCAGAATAGCGCTACGCC